GCGGAGCGGCCCCGAGCCCTCGGGAGGGCGGCGCGCGCCCCCGCCCCGGCGCCTACCTGTATCCTTGCACCGGGCCGCGCGGGGGCGGCCTCCGGGCGGGCGGGCTCGCCTGGGGGGGTCGGGGGGGTCCGTTAGATTCCCGTTGCCACCAGTGCGACGGGGTTCGAGCTAGCTAGTCGTCTCAGTGCGGCTGTTTGCTTTAGCAATTTTTATTCTCGGTTTGAGCCTAAAATTATACCATTTTATTCTGTGGCTCCTTCCCTGCTGCCCTGTTATCTCACCCCCAGTTTTCAACTTGGTTGTCAATTTTTTTGGTAGATTTTAAAATGTGTATTCTAGGGGTGAAGAGATACTTCCCTTCTAGAGTTATGTCATCATGCTTGTATACTTGCCGCTTTCTGAGGAATCGTTCTACTTAGAGAAATTGTACAAATAAAATGCTAGTCCGGAGATTGTTTTAATACAGTGTCAGTCTAGCACATCCCTGATGCGTTTACCAGAGCTAGAACAGTTCGGTCAGTTGTTTTGTTTTCCATCTCTACCCAGTCCGCTGTCAGGGGGATGGATATAGGAGAGGAAATGAACTTTCAGTCTAGACTGTTTCAGATTTTCTCCTGGGAAGTGGTTGAACCCGCTTTTGATACTGCTGTTGGTTATGCTGCAGAAAATCGAGAGTGGGAGAGTTTGGTTTCAGAGTACTTGACCCATGTTTATTTCTTCAGACCATGTTATAATAATTAGAATGTAACCTTTGTATTCTCAGAGGACTTTGGTTGGCAGTGGTGGTGCCGCGTAATCATCCTAATGGCGCGGCTTCTCTTTCCAAGTTAATCTTCCCAATCCACTCCCATTCTTTCCTGGTTTTCTCACCCCATTGTCTCCAGCTTCTGAAATACTTTTTATGTTAGGATTTTAACAGCAAACCACCAAATAATTTATCATGAGTGTCTGCTCTTCGCTAAACTATCGTAGGTCCTAGGAGGTCGGATGCCTCACCACTTCCCTGCTGCTGTGTTTGCAAGCTTCTGTCCCTTCTTTGATTTCTTTGGGCAAGTTCTCAAAGCAGTAGTCTGCAGTAGCAGCTGCTAGCTCCTTTCATCTATTCACTATTAAGCCTGTTCTGTTTGTCTTTCACCCTAGCTGCTGCCCTAAATTGTCTTCTCAGAAAGGTGCTCTGAAATAAATAGGGTTGTCTTGTGCATGAATTTTATTCTTCCCCTTTGTATTTTCTTCTATTTAGTTTATCTCTAAATGAGAATATAGGAGGCATTGTAAATGGCTTTCCATCATTTTCATAGTGAAATGGCCATAAACTTCCCTTTTCTTAATGTGTATTAATCAGCATAGACACAAATAACCAAAAGAATTGTAAATAGAATTCTGCAGTACATCAAAGGAACATAACCTGAAGCACTATTCCAAAATTATAATGATAGATTCCTATAAAGAAACCCATTACTAAAATATATTTAAGGACTATATGCTTAAAAATAATCAAGTTTAAGTGATTTCAAGAAATGGCCAAATGTCAATGATAAAATCAATAATTTTTGCTTCTGTGTGTTTGCTGGCTTATATGTTTTGCTAGTACTATGTGTATAATTTTGTATAATATGTATTGTAATTGTTATACAGGGAATTTGAACATAAACAGACTAAATCAAGAATATTTTCCACATGAAGAAACACTAAAGCACCTTACATATTTTGGATGTTGTTAGATACTGTAATGTTTCCCTTTTTTTTAATTCCTAGTACAGAGAAGGTGCTCAAATTTACTAAGTGAATGACTAAATGAAAAAGAAAAACAAGTGAAAGAGAGTATATTTTGATAAAAATTGTATTCTCCAAATATCAGGGCAATGCTTAGATGCCATCTAGCCTCCTGTTGAAGATATTTTCTAGCTAAAGTTAGAATTTTCCTAATTCAAAAGGCTATAAAAAGAATAAAACTTTATAAAGTTCATCTGATTAAAATTAACTGAATTTTTACATTTCATACTCTTAGAATCCATGTAGAGATAAAATTTGTTAAGAAAAAAAGAGATCCCATCTTCATACTATGCCTCTTTTTCTCACAAATAACCTGACTTATGACCCATTTTATTCTAACTTCTTACTTTTATCTGTTACTCATGTTATACCCAACTCTTGGTTTTTTAGACGTACACTCTCACCAACACTCTTGGTCCCTCATACCCCTATTCTGCTTCGGCCACCCATAAACTAGTATGCCCCCTCCCTACTCTTTCATGTAAATAATCAAATGTTGGCAGAGAAAATCACAAGACAATACAGACGGCCCCACAGAAGAGTACTAGCTTCACCTAAACAGGAGTCAGGGTGATCTCATCTTATTGCCTAGGCCTACCACCTTTCTCAGTAGATTCTTACCACTTCATAAAACATAGGTGACCAGGTGTGGTGGCACACACCTGTAATCCCAGCACTCAGAAGCCTGAGGCAGGACGAGCACCGAGTTTGAAGCCTACAAAGTGAGTTCAAGACCAGCCTGTACATAGTGATAACCAGTCTCAAAAAAACCCAGAAAATGCATAGAAGCCATGAACTCTCCCAGGTCCCACCCAACAAGCAACACAAATTCACACACATTGATCCACTTGATTTTTCTCTAGATTCACTGATAAAATCCCACCTTTGCTATAGAAAGCAAATCTGTCCATGTATAACCCTATTTCTACTTTCTTTTCCCCCACTGGCTCAGGAGTATAAATTTTTACACCTCTTATAATTAACTTTCAATTTCTCTTTGTGGCCTTCTTTTACCTTAGGCTACAAAAGTGTTCAGTTCTTGACAATCCTTAAAGTCAGGTGTACTAACATTCTTTGTTCAAAATATCCTTTTAAACTATATTCTAATATCTGTTTCTTAGAACTCTAAAAGTGATAAATCCATATTTACTATCTCTACCGAGTCTGTATTCCAAAATAAAATTTGAGCTGCTGAAAAGGGTACATATAAACATAAAATTGTAAAAACTGATAAACAGAATTGCACATTTCTCATTGTTTGAAATATTGTAACTTCACCTTTTGAAGGGAAAAGATTAATTTCCAAGGAAAATATTCAGAGATAAAATTAATTTAAAACTTTAATGAGAAATTGTACAATTAAATAAAACTTGAAATATCTGGGGGAAGTACTAGCATTAATTGATAGAGAACTAGTATCAATAGTACTGTACCTATATTGAACTTACTGAAGTTGATTTTTTTTTTTTAGAAATCAATTTCTCAATAGATAAATGGCAATTGACCTAAATTAATGATTTTCCAAGCAGGATAATTAAAATTTGTACTTAACATAGAATCTGTTCTAGTTTATTAATGTTCACAGAACAGTTTTGCATCCTATTTCAAAGAAATCCTATCATATAGTCATGAAGTTTTAAAACTCACTTTTCTAAGTGCACATAAATTTGTTTAACTCCTTGAGAAAGCAGTTTTTCACTAATGCATTAAAAGCTGTAAAGTTTTCATCTTGTTAATTCTGCCTCGGAGAATCTTCTCCAAGCAAATCCTGGAGCAAAATTTTTTAAGTCGTTTCTCTATTCTCAGAACCGTAAATGTTAAGAAATGAAGTTGAAAGAACAGACCAGATGATAGATTGCTGTAGAAATGGTACTTTTTGAGAACAGTGAAGAATAAAAAAGTCAGAGCTGCACACGCAGCTGGCTTTGTGGGAGTGGGACAGCAGCCATCAGTGCAGGACCAGGAGATGTGCTGGGAGGTGAGCAACGCAGGTCAGGCGGGTGACTCAGAGAACCCAAGCCAAGGCAGGGGAAGGAGAGGGCACAGGCCGGACAGGCAATCAAGGTCGCTTGCGTAGACTTGGCAAGAAAGTAAGTTGCAAGGCGCCTAGTATTCGTGATGGTGATGTATTTCAAACATCCCAGTTGGAGAAAGGCTAAATTTGGAGATAGACATTAATAGTATTCTTTTTTGTTTTGTTAATAAATTAAGTACATAAAAAGTCCTTTCTTTTGGACAAGTGTTTAACAACACTTCTTAGGAAATACTCTACATTTTTTAAAGCATCTGTAAAAGTCAGAAGTTAGCCATCTATTTAATATTTTTCAAACTTGAATATTACATAGGAAAAGATGCAAAGGCTATAGCATTCTTTATAATTCAGCAGCCAACAATTATTTCTGTGTATATATTATATATAGTAGAATCATTTTATTAAATTTTAAAATACATACTTGTCAAAACACTGTAAACGTGACCTTTGTGATTCTCTTATCCTCTTTGGTGACTTCTCGAGCATGTTGGTCAGCATTGTCTCTGTCTGCACGTAGCTGCCTGTACCTCTCCCCTGACGTCAACACAGTGACTCATCCTTGGTGCTCCGTGTTCTCCTGTGTTCACTGGAAGGAGGAATTTGCCTTTATCTTTACAGCTGAATTATGACTTTTAGTAGCTAATTATCTGTAAGTGTCTAGCCCCTAAAAAAGGGCTCTAGGGCCAGCGAGATAGCTCAGTGGTCTAAGCGCCTGCTTAGGCGAGTGCAGCAACTGGGTTCTATCCCTGCACCACATGCTGAGCTGACGCCCTGGGCACGACCAAGATGTGGCACACGCCTGTAATCCCATCACTGGGAAGGCTGCAAACAGGAGGGTCACTAGGAGTCTGAGCTAGGTAGCGAGACCCTGCACCAAATACATAAAAAAGGCACTATAGTTGAAGAGTAAGATATCTCTAACTATTTCTGTGCTAGCCAAAGACCAGATTTTCTTCCTTTTTTTTTTTTTTTTTGTCTCAATTCTTATAAATTGATCAAAGACACTTTCAGTAAGAATATTGTGTATGTGAGTATGTTTGGGCATTTGTGTTGAATGTAGTAGAATTTATTTTAAAAAAGTAAAGTGAGTTCTGGTCTATGATAAGAATACAATTAAATAGCAACTTAATTGAAAGCAAGTAAATTCCCATTAGAAAAAACTCAGCGCGAAGTGTTTGAATGTGATTTTTTTCAAAATATAGTTTCCTTATAATATTGAGGTTGAAGTACCATAGGATGCTGAAATCAGTATTTTGAATTAACAAATCATGCGCAGCCTAATTTATTGAATATATTTCATGGTTTTGGGTTTATTTATTTGTTTATATTTTTAGGGAAGGATCTATAGGGTGTTCAGACTTGTAGTGATCCTCTTTTCAGCCTCCCAAGAGCTGGGATCACCACACCCAGTCTCAATTGCTGTCTCAGCATGCCCTGGAGGCGGGGCCAGCAGGGCAGGCCTGGGAATCGAACCCCTGGCCTATGCCCCTGCTTGCAGGCACTTTAATCTGCTGAGCTATTTGGCCAGCCCTTCATGTTATTTGTATTACCCTTAAAAACAAATTTGTGACATTAATTAAATGGATCTCTTAAAAGGAAATTTAAACTTCAATTTTTGGGAAAAAAATTTTGAACAACTTTTTTTAGTTAAAAAAAAAAAAAAAAGACCACAAGTGAGCATGCCTTGTAATCTGATTTCACTGTAACCTCATGCGCATCTACCTCCAAAGATGAGGCATTAAATTTTTGTGTGGTTTTTTTTAATGTATTTAATACAGGGTCTACAGAGTCTCACTGCACAGATCGGACTCGTAGTGATTCTCCTGTTTTCAGCCTCCCAAGCACTGGGATTACAGGCATGCGCCACCATGCCCAGTGTCAGCGCGCCCTGGAGGTGGGGCTGGCATGGCATGCCAGGGATCGATCCCAGTCCCTATGCCTGGCTAAGCAGGCGCTTTAATCCATTAAGCCTCTGGTGGCCCTGAGGCATTAAATTGAGTGGTGCTTTACTGACTATATTTTAAATTAAAAATCATGAAAAAGAATAGGACAGTACTGTGACAAATTGATTAAAATATTTAATAATTATAATCAAAACAAATAATTTGAGGAAACTAATTAACCATATCAATACAATTTATTTATGGAAAATTTACATGATAAACTTCAAAAAGTGGATGATTAGGATGAGCAGAATATTGCTTCTCTAAAAAACGTGAATGTGCATGAGTATGAATCACTAATAATTATATTCCCAAATATTCCAATATTTCTAATATGACTTACAAATGTTCTGTTGAAGCACATAGTGTATCTACTGTCTATTTCTCTTAGCAAAATACAGCCTTCTTTCATTTTTTTGTATACATACCTCTGAAGGCCACTTGCTGTTAAGTGTAGTGCTCAAGTATACGTTCAATAAATGAAGGTATGCTGTCTTCCTAATTATGCTGTGCATGAGCTCATAATTTCTAAAATTTATTTTCCCCCAGAGAAAGTGAGATATATCTTAAATTCTAATACCTACACTACTATGTACATGTACTAATTTTTCAACAAAACATCATCATATTCACATGAAGCTGTCATTCTCAGATAGTCTTGACAACCTCTAAAGACATAAACTTGTTCTTAACTCAGTGTTATCTTTAGAGATATGAAAATTCATCTAGAAAAAAATTTAGAAGAAGAACGCCAAATATTACTGCAGCAACAGAAAATATGTCGAAATCGAGCACGTAAATATTTTGTGGAGTCAAACCGGAGAAAAAAGTAAGTAACTGTTTTATTCAGAAATGTAAAAATTCCAAGTCAGTAGAAGTTAACATTCTCTTTCTGTGTTTTATGAATATAAGTCATGACATGATATTTTCTCTGTAAAACACTGATCAAGATTCTCATACTGTTAGAAATTTTATTATTGTTTTTCTGCCTATAGCACAAAAATAGTGGTATGCTTTATAATTCACTGATTTATGACCGTAGCAATCTTTTCTTGTCATCAAATGTGTTATCTTCTTTGGTTTTTGATGAATTAAAAGACTAGCAATTATCACTTCATTTGTAACGTAATGTAATTTGTTTTGATTTATTACTCACCTTATATACTTTGTCCATATTAATATCCTCATTCAATTACAAAAATAGGGAGAAATAGTAGTCAGGGTAGTAATGTGCTAAATATAATTTTATAAATGACTGCCCCCCCAATCAAGCTTTTTTGTGTAAACATTAAAGTGAAAATGTAAGCTATCACATTACTGCTTAACATTTTATAAGATTTTTTAATTATTTTGTTTAAAACAAAGCAGCTGTGTGATTTCTTATTGCTGTCTTCGCTGTTTTATCCGTATCCCTACCACATACAGGTAGCAGAAAATCCCAAGTGTTTACTAACTGCATCACGGCCATATGCTGCAGATCCCATCTGAGGACACAGAATTGTTTACTGCTAGTTTTTTTCCTAACATTACGTTACTCCTTAACCCTTTCTTTGTCCAACAGAGTTGAAATTATTTAACATAGCTTCTTTTTATTTTTGTTTCTGTATGTATTTCTGCAATTCTATCTTTTGAATCCTAAAGCTTGTAGAAGACACAAAACAGGTATCCAGTTAAGGTGACTATAGATTTTCAAGTTGATACTGTCTACTTGGATTGGACTCATAGAATTTCTTAAAGTAGTTTTTCTTCAGGTAGAGACAGTGTCCTTCTGCCATTTGTCAGTTGTATTTCGACATTGTCAGTGTATGTACCCCGCAGTAGTCACAGGAAAATGTACATTTTAGCCCAGGGAACAGGGCCACTGTGGAACAGTGTAGAATGATAGTGATGTTAATCTGCTGTCCATCATGACTTTCCCGCCAGGCTTTGAAACAGGCACCTGTGGTCCCTTCACTCTTAGAAGCTGAGGCAGCATGTTCCCTAGTTTACAAGCATGGGCAATTTAATTAGAATTTGTCTCAGAATTTTAAAAGCTATTAAAGGTTTTAGGTATAGCTCAGTGTGAGGGCCCTGTGTCCTGTCCTCATTGCCACTTGAGTTGTTCAGTGAATTACAAGGGCTGGTTCTGTGGCACAGTAGCAGAGAGCCCCTGTGCTCACTCCCCAATACCATCTTGATTAATTAGTCAATTAAATGGGTTGGACTAGAGTTCAGTAGTAGAATGGCCTCGGTTCAATCCCACATCTTATACATACGCACAAAAACTTTCAGGTATAACAAGGAAACAACTACATCTTAGCTTCAAAATCAATCATTCCTCATTGCCAAACTTCCATGAGTTGGGAGTATTTTCTCAATTTCTCAAATGTGCTAATGTTCTTTTTCCCAACTTGGCCTATTTGCATGTTTCTTCTGTCACTTTTTTCCTCACATTTTCATGAGTGGCATCTGTGTTCTGAAGTGTTTAGCTTAAATGTCATATTTGCAGAAAAATTTCCTAGTTTACTTTTGTAAAACAGGTCCCCCTGGTTCATCATCTACAGTAAAGATTGATGTAGGTAAATTATTAGGTGTGTGACAAGAATTCTAGTATGGCTTGTGTTTTGCTCTTGACAAAGGATACTAGAGCAAGGTAGAGAATGACACTGCCCAGTGGATCCAGAACTTGAGTTGCAAGATATCATTGTTAGTCCTCCTCTGACCAGTTCTCTGTCTTTTCTATAAAATCTCCACTCTTTTGGAACCCATGCCATCAAAATATGCTGCTCAGTGCTACCCTTCCTACTATGGCCACCTCAACCACTTTGACATTCTGTTAGTCCTTGGGAGCTTTGACACCTGATTGTGACTGTTCTTTGTACTTTCATTGTCTTCAGGGCCATCCATATGAGCTGGTGGCTGGTCACCCTCTTCAACTTCATTCTGTCAGTTGTACTTCACCGTGGGTATTACAAGTTACCCTTCTGCCTCCTAAGTCTTAATTTCAAGTCCTTCCACTCCTGCTCTACATCCTGTCTTTCATTTCACTTTCTCTAGGACCCTGAGTTCAGCAGTTCAGACACCCTACCAGGTTATCCAGTCCATTTAGCTTTTTGCCCTTTTTGTTGTTGTTGTTGTTGTTAGTTGGTTAGGTTTTTTGTGCTGGTGGTTGTTGTTTATTTTTTAAAAATAATCCTGACCTTCATACAATCACTTCTTTAAAACAGCAAATGGGAGGCAGAGGCAGGATTATCACCCTGAGTTCCAGGCCAACCTAAACTACAGAGCAAGACAGGTCTTAAAAAGGGAAAATAATAAAAACCTGCGTTTTTTCATTCTATGTTGTCTCATTTGTATTTGTTTATTTGTTTGTTTGGCTTTTTTTGTTGTTGTTTTTGGCAGAACCGGGGATTGAACTCAGATCCTTGCACTTGCCAGGGAAGCGCTTATTCCACTGAGCCATCTCCCCGGCCCCTCATTTGTATTTGTTTATATACACTCAAATCCCTTGTGATCAATTTCCACACCTTATAGTAATTACTGTTTAATTTCTCTTATTAGAATTAGTTTTATCTGTCCATCTTTGTTTCTGACTTTTCACTTAATGTTTAAATTCATCCATGTTATCCCATTTACTAATATTTCATTCTTTTTTTTACTGCTGAGTGGTATTCCATTATAAAAGTATGCCATAATTTGTTACTCCATTGTCCTATTAATGGCCACTGAGTTGTTCTAATTGGAAGCTAGTTATAAAACCATGAGCTAAAACATAATTCAAACTAAAATGGTCAAATGTGAGAGTCCATAAGAAGAAAATAGGCATAACTAAATGTGGAACTACTGAATCTTTAGAGTACATCTAAGTTTAACCATATAGGAAGTTATCACGTGGGTTTGTGAAGGAGCAGCCCTTTTAACAGACACCAGCTATGGAACCCCACTGGCTTCATAACTTTCCCAGACTTTCAATTTTAACTATATCATAAGTATGAAATGGTTTTAACTTGTATTTCTCAGATTACTCATGGCCTACAAGCTTTTTAAAGTTTATAAAGTTTGTACTCCCTGTAACAAATGGTACTGACCTGTTTTTCACCAAATGGTGCTGAAACATAAGACGAATTAAAATAAGTTTCTTTCTCTCTCTGGTGGTTTTTGACCTTTTTTTAAAAAAATCAATTTGTACATTAACAGTCTACTTCTGAGACCCATATTATATGCAGTTGGTCTATTTACCCTTATGACAATAACAGTTGTTGTTGTTGTTGTTGTTGTTCTGGGTTTTTTTTTTTTTTTTTTTTTTGTTTTGGTTTTGGGTTTTTTTGTATTTTAGGGAAGGGTCTACAAGGTGTTCAGGGTCTCACTAGTGATCCACCTGTTTACAGCCTCCCAAGAGCTGGGATTACAGGCATGTGCCATCACACCCAGTCTCAATTGCTGTCTCAGCACGCCCCGGGGGCAGAGCCAGCATGAACAATTAGTTTTATGTAAACAACTAATTATAACAGTACTATACTAACTTTATTATTGCAGTATTAGAACAGAAAATTACAACAGTGTTCTTGACGTTTTGAAAAAGAGCGTGCTTTGCTATGGCAGCCAGTCTCATGGTAGAGCACTTGTCCATATACACAAGGTCCTGGATTTGATTCCAGGAGCAATGGGGCAAAAAAGAAAATTCACCTTTTTATTTTAAAGAAAATAAAAATATTAATAAAAGCATTGATTTAAATTTTAAAATAGGGCCAGGGAGATGGCTCAATAGAATAAGCACTTGCTTGGCAGTTGCAAGGTCCTGAGTTCAATCCCCGGTTCCACCAAAATAAATAAATAAATAAAATAAATTTTAAAACGTGGGGCTGGTAACATAGCTAGTGGACTAAAGCGCCTGCTTAGGCAAGCACAGGGCCCACAGTTCGATCGCCGACAACACATACTGTGCCAGCTTCGCCCCCAGGACAGGTGGAGCCAACCAAAGTCCACGCTGGTGGCGCATGCCTGTAATACTAGCGTTGGGGAGGCTGAAAGCAGGAGGATCACTGCAAGTCTGAGCTGCATAGTGAGACCCTGCAACAACCAAATACATAAAAAAAATAAACAAGATTATAAGAGAGTAACAGTGGTTAGTACATTGCATACTGTTATCTTCAAAGTAGTTGATCTAACTACAAGATATAGGCATGAAAAACTGATCAAACAATATAGGCACAAACCTTTTCAGTGAACTAATAGCAGTTAGTAGTGTAACTATCTTATCGTGTGTGTGCGTGCATTTTTTTCCTTTTCCCTTTTCTCCTTTCCCCCATTCCAGTTTTTCTTTTGAGCAATTTCTTCTTATTTCACAATATCATGAGCATTTTGGACCTTGTTTACTCTTTCAGTTTCTTATGTGAGGAAGACAATATGATGTTTATATATGAGACTGATTTATTTCATTTACGAATATGGTCTTACGTTGTATTTGTTTCCTTGTAAAAGCCTTGAGTTTGTTCTTCTTTGTAGCTGAGTAGTATTCCACTGTATAAAAAATACCACGTTTTTACCCATTCCTCAGTTGATGAGCATTTGAGTTGTTTCCAAGATGTAGACATTAAAAATTTGCTGTTATACACGTTGGTGCATGTATATCACTATGGTATGATGTTTTTAAGTCTTCTGGGAAAATTCTCAGAAGGGGAATAGCTAGGTCGGATGGGACCTCTAATCCTAGTTTTTGGAGGAATCTTCACACTTGTTTCCACAGTTTCATAGTGATTGTACCAGTCTTCGTTCCCACGAACAGTGGAAAAGGCTCCTGTTTCCACACATCCTCGCCAGCATTTGTTATTGGTTGATAACCAATTCTTATTGAAATTAGATAGAATCTCAGTGTTGTTTTAATTTACACTTCTCTAATGACCGGTGATGTTGAACATTTTTTCATGTGTTTGTTTTCCATTTACATTTCATTTGAGAAGTGTGTGTTTCATCTCAGATGCCCAATTTTGGATTGGGTCTTTGAATTTTTAGAGTCTAATATTTTTCAGTTATTTATATGTTCTAGATATAAATCCTTTGTCTGAGGGATACTTACTTAAAACTTTTTTCCACTCTCTGTGTTGTCTTTTCACTATGTTGGTGATTTCTTTTGACATGAAAAAGATTTTTAGTAAGATTAGATTCTAGTTGCTGATGCTTTGAAGTGTTTCCTGTGCAGTTTGGATTTTATTCATGAAGTCTCTGCCTATTCCTGTGTCTTCAAATTTTCTACCTACTTTCTCATCCAGTAGATTTAGTGTTTCTGTTTTAATTACATATTTGATCTATTTGGACGTTAGTGTGTGGTGATACACATGGGTCTAGTTTTAGTCTTCAATATGTAGAGAGCCAGTGTTTCAAGCACCATTTATTGAAGAGACTATCTTTCTTCTAGTGAACATGTTTGGCCCCTTTGTCAAAGATAAGGTGGCTGAGTGTTTGCAGTTGTGTCTGCATCCTCTAATCTGTTCTGTTGATCCTCAGATCTATTTTTTTGCCAGTACCATGCTCATTTTATCACAGTTTTTAAGTGTGATTTCAAATTAGGGATTGTAATGCCTTCTGCCTTGCCTTTGTTGCCCAAGATTGCCTTTGCTATTCCAGGTCTCTTCTGCTTCTAGGTGAATTTTAGGAAAGTGTTCTGTAGTTCTGTGAGATATGTTATGGTATTTTAATCAGGATTGCTTAAGTATGTGTAACAATTTTGGGGGTATGGCCATTTTCGCTATGTTGGTTCTTCCTATCCATGAAGAACAGATATATTTCCATTTTCTGATATCCTCCTCAATCTCCTTTTTCAGAGTACTATAATTTTCAATATATAGATCCTTTACTTTCTTTGTTAGATTGATTGCTAAGTATTCCATTTTTGGGATTATGAAAGGTGTGGTTTCCCTAATTTTTCTCTCATTGAGTCTATGTACAGTAATGCTATTGATTTTTCAGCATTGACTTTGTATGTAGCTGTGCAACTGAATTTGGTTATTAACTCTAGAAGTCTCTTTCTTCTAGTGAACATGTTTGGCCCCTTTGTGAAAGATACAGTTTTTCGGGCCTTCAATGTTGAGTGTCATGTCATCTGCAAATAATGATAAAGAAAATTTACTTTTATTTCTAATTTGGATGCCTTTTATTTATTTTTGTTGCCCAATTTATGTAGATAAGAGTTTCAGTACTATGTTGAATCCAACAGTAAAAGCAGCTTCTTGTCTTGACTTAGAGGGGTTGTTAAAAGAGATTGTTCTTATAGGTAAAAGTTTTCCCTCCATGTGGCACAGTACCGCTACCTCCCACTACCGCAGGATTGGACTACTTGAAAATACAATTTACAGGCCAGCTTGGATAATCCTACTGGTGGTTTCTCCTCATCTGTTGAAAGGAGCACAAATTATGGAGAAAAAAAAAGAGCACTTCATGCTTAAACTTTTTCTTCTCCTTTTTAATTTCTTACAACTTTTTTGACCAATTTTGCATGCTTACAACTGGTAATCTGAACAATTAATTTGAAGACAATCTTTTGCAATATAACAATCATTGGTTAATTCCTATTATTTTGTTTACTGGAATTCTATATCATTTCTGATTTTTTTTTACTATTTTTATTCTCTTTAAAAAATTCAATTTCCTACACACAAAAAAGAAAAAATATATAGCTCTATTACCCAAAAGCATAGTACCCTAACTCTGAATTATTTAGGCTAGAATAATGATCCACACATAGGACATGCTTAGAAGAATGATTAATGGTAACCCATAGCACTAAAAATTTTGCAAGCTTTCTTGTCAACCATTCCTCAGGTTTGTGTGTTGCAAGGAGGCCTCAGTGAAAGCTGCTTTCCCTGTGAGTTTACTGGTGCCTTCTCTGCTAGCAGATTATTTCTGAGTAGTACACGCATACGTACACATTTTTGAAGGACAAAACTAATTGAGATGGCGTCCTGCAAAATATAAACCCAAGTACCTAGGGACAAACAGAAATAAATAAAACAAGAACATTGAGAAAAATATGGATTTTTTTTTTCCTAGCCATGTATGATGGAAGAGTTCAGGGCTATCAAATCTTCCAAATGTATAAGAGGAGATGGAAGTTAAACTTTTTATGTAAATTGTCTGGAATTTTAGCACAGTTTAGACGTAATGCAGTAGCCAGTTTTAAATTTTTAGTCTAAAAGGAAAAAATATATGCTATATTTTCTTAACTGTCTTAGAGTGTTTTTTGGTTTGGTGTAGTTTGCCAGGGCCTTTACACTAAACTGTAGCTCCGGCTCTTTTTTCTTTTTCTTTTTTTCCTTTTTTTCTCCCTCCTCCTCCTCCTCCTCCTCCTGCTCCTCCTCCCCCT